AGACCAAGTCCCATGTGGCTCAATCATTCAATACAATGTAAGTGATTCTAAATGAAGTAATATGAAATGTAGTGGTAGCAATATATGTAGTGGAGAGAATTACAGACTAAACTTTTTGAGAATAAAGGGTAGAATTAAACTTCTCTCCACCTTCTTTTTTTTTATAAAAAAATAAAATAAAATCGCAATAATTGATATAAAAAAATATTCTTATCATCAATTACATAATAACCCCCAACAATATTTATTACTAGTTAACACTGCATGCGAGTCTGGACAAGTTAATTAATGTATTTGCTCATCATGTAACAAATTTTCAGACAGAATTACACCAATGCTTGCGCATATTGTTCAGAATATTTTTGTTTTTTTGTCATTCGATAAAGATAATGTCCGGTTGTTCTTACAACGGCCTCATTAAATTTTCATAGGGTCTATCGTCTACATGATTTAATAATAGCGACTACACTTAACATATCTCCACAATATGCAGATACAAGAAATAGTCAAGTAGTGACAGCAAAAAGGAATGTATTAGTGACAATAGTGGTTGGGATAGTGGCACGAGAATTGACTATACAGTGCAATGGTTAGATATAATTAGATCTGTAGTTCTACCACTAAGACCTAATTATGTCATTATCAATTTGGAAACACTAATTTCATTCATTTATTTATTATTATTATTTTATTGATGATTGAGATGTCGAATCTCTCGGAGTATATTAAAAATTATTATTAAATACGAAAAATCTTCAGTTTCATATATACATTATCCTAGCAAATTAGAAGTAGAAAGAACTCGATCACACTACCTTGCCCTGAGAGCTGGACACTTGCCTTTAAATAACTACTTCTGGCTCAAGATAGATTGTAAAGATAATGAAAGAATGATAATTAATAATATTGATTGAGTCATACATCTGACTTTGTTTGGTTCAAAAGGAATTGCATGTGATGTACTTTTGAGTTTCAACTTTCAACTTATTTTTTTTTTTTTTTTGCCTGAATTTCAACTTACTTGACCAGTAGTGAAAGTGAAATAAGAGGGTTCAAAAGGAATTGCATGTGATGTACTTTTGAGTTTCAACTTTCAACTTATTTTTTTTTTTTGCCTGAATTTCAACTTACTTGACCAGTAGTGAAAGTGAAATAAGAGAAATCAAATGTAACAAAGTTCATGGGGTCCATTATAGTTCAAATATAAATTAAAAAATGGAAATATAATAACACGAATTAGATAGAAATTAAAATATAGTAAAACATACATGTGTGTGTGTGTGTGTGTGTGTGTGTGGGGGTGTGTGTGTGTGTGTGTAGTTCTCTCATCGAGCTCCTAATGCCAGTCTTTGTCCAACCCAAAGGACAAGAGCAGTTAAACTTTGCCATGTGATGGTGAATTTTGATTGAAAAGTGGCAGATATTTCTTTGTTCATTGCCTACCCAAAGTCCAAAATGGCAACCTGTCTAAGAAAACACAGCTTGACTAAAGAAGTTTATGCGAATGTGTGTCGTGTGTGAGAGATAATAAAGTTGGTTCCGTGACTTAAAGTCAGGTCAAGCGAGAGTGAGAGTAATTTAAAAGCAGAAGTAGGGAGAATAATAAAATTAAATTAAAAATAATAAGAATGGAAGTGAAAACGTGAGCAGAGCACGAGTACGATAGCGTGTTCAGAGTGTAAAAACGACACTCAATGATGAGAATTATGTGATTTAGTTCTTAATTACATAGTCTCATTCCAGCTAATCACAACTCAATACATAAACAAAAAAATAAATAAATAAAGTTGTCTCAAGTTTTGATTGATTGGGATTGTGTACTCCCAGATCATTGATCCCAACCAATCACTTTTAAACACGTAAGCAAAAGAACTTAAAAGAATATACATATTTCTAACACAATTACTTACATGTTTAAAGATGATTAGCTCAATGCGAGAAATTCCGAAATCATGCAACAATTTCTATAAATATTTCTCCACGGAATATATAGTCAATGTTGTCTCTCTTTGTTTTTTATAACTTTTGAAATTAAGTGACTGGTTATGATATTAAAATGTTCCATTTTCAATGTCCATACTGAAAGTGGGGACCTTGTGGGTTCAAGAAGACCACAAACCCTAGCACCATCAATGGTTCAAAAACATATCAATGATTCAAATACCAAACCCATACACTAACCGTCCTCCATTATTAGACCTACAAATATTATATATATTATATATACACACACACACACACATATATATATATATAATTCGGGAACGATTATAATCCGTATATTGTGTGTGCGTGACTTTTTCTACTAACCCACTTATGCGTCAAACACCATTCTTTGACTCTAATGCCCACCTACCATTTATACTCATCAAAAACCCCACCATCAGACCCGCTCGAATCCAAAATTCTCACCGGCAACTTTTCTCCGCGGTTCTTTGTTGTGTAAAATTTCACCACTATAAATGATGGATTTCACCATGATCTAATTTCACCTATTTAACCTTTTCAAATATATATATATATATCACCTATTTTTACTTACTTATAATAAAAAATAAAATTCATTATTTTAAAATTTAAAAAATGGAAGAATTTATGATGTTAAAATCTATAAAAATTATGAAATTTGCGGTTTTAATTGTTGAAATTCACTATGGTAAAGTTTATGGTGGTGCAATTCTAAAGTAAATGAGATGAAAAGTTAATGGAGAGGATTCGTGTCCCGGGTGGTGTGAGGGAGCTAGAACTAAGTGACACTGAGGGTGCAGGAGCGGGAATAAATTCAAGAGTAAGAACATAAAAGCATTAAAATTTAAATCTCACATAATGGGATCGGAAGTAACAGCATGCACGGAAGTGTATGCCCCCAGTTTAGAATAATTACGTGACTTGGTTATAATCACAAATTTTTTCTTTTTAATAATGAATTTAATGTACCTATTTATGGCTATTAAATGTGGTTTATAAAGCAAGTGTCATGTTGCCAGAGTATATGGGTTGCTCCTCCTCTCCAGGAGCCTGTGTTTGAACCTTGCACCCTTTCTCTCTTTCTCTAAGGATGGCAAACGAGGCAGAGTTAGGGCGGGTTCATCACTAAATTCGCCTATGTTTTAAACCCACTTGGGGTTTTCAATTTTTTTATCATACCTATCCCAAACCCATTTAAAGGGTTACCTAATCCACCCCATTAGGAACGGGGCTAGGTGAAAACACGCGGGAAAATTTTCCATCCCTACCCCTCTAACCAATAACATTCTTGCCTTGAAAAAAAAAAAAAAAAAAAAAAAAAAAAAAAAAAAAAATGAGATTTGCAAATGAATTTACTTGCGCCACATTCAAATTCGCTCCCACTACGTAGGCTGGATAAAACTCGATAAGAAATTTTTACACTTAAGTGAGAGCCAACCTTAAACTTAATTCTACTATTTGAGTCAATCCCTTATGATTTTGTGCCCCCCATTCCAATTCCAATAAATTATTTTAGTCTTGCCTTTAAAAAAATCAAATCTAGTAAAAAAAAAAATGTGTTAATTATTATTACAATCATTGGTACAACATATAATTACTCTATTTATATAATACATATATATATGGACTATTTATATAATACATTTTTTTTCTGTTATTTATATAATATATATATATATATACACACACATATGAAAAATACTAAAAGATCAGGAAAGGACCGAATTGAGTGATTTTAGGATTTTTATTTTCGAAAAGAAGTAGCCAAATAATTAAGGTCAAATAATAAGAAAGAAAATATTTATTTTTGGAAAGAACTAATATATCTTGCAAATTGTTTTGTATTACTTATCTCTCAATCTAGGTTATTTATCGGTCTTGTCCATCTCTCACTCAATTTAAGGTTAGACTTTTATCTTTACACATAAGTTATGGCGATTGATATATATATAAGATGAATAATGACGTTGCAATTTGAAAGTAATTTAATTGAAAAGTTAAATGGTTTAAAATTTTAAAATAAATTCATACATCTATGTTGTCATTAAAGGTTGTCAGAAATTACTGCTAATGCCTTTAAATTCCTAAATGATTTTAGTCTTGCCTTTAAAGAGTCAAATCTAATAAAAATATATATTATTAATTATTACTATACTCGTTATAATCGTTGCTGCAACATATAACTGTTCAATAATAGCATACTTTTTAGTGGCGATAATCAACTCCTTATCATTTCCAGCCAACAAAGGAATACACATATATATATATATATATTGATATATCCCTTCAAATTCCAATTAAAATATGGTTTCATTTATCAGACAACTGATGTTCTCTCCATTTTTAACTCTCATATTATGTATACACGTGTTTTTAAAGAATACATTAAAAATGCGCAAAAAGCAAATTAGTTACAATTATTTAATTTTAAAATTTTAATTTTATATTACTAGTTAGCCCCCTAAATCAATATTTATGACTTTGACAGCCAATTGCACGATTGAAGACACACGATTTAACGGTAAGAGCACCCTCATCCTAGCACTGCCCAATGGCCTAACGTTCAACCAACACCTTAAAAATCTCCTCTTTAACCACTTCCACAAACCGAGACTCATTTCATTCATACGAATAATATTTGTCCAAGTTAATGTGGTCTAATAAATATAAAACGAGTGTTCAAAATTAAAAGTTAGGATTTAAAGTATATGTCTAAAAACAAAAGTAAGTAAGATTCCTAATTTAATTTAATTTTATTTTAATACTTGTTAACAATTTTATTAGGTCAGATTAGTAGGTTCATTTCATTCATACGAATAATATTTGTCCAAGTTAATGTGGTCTAATAAATATAAAACTAGTGTTCAAAATTAAAAGTTAGGATTTAAAGTATATGTCTAAAAACAAAAGTAAGTAAGATTCCTAATTTAAATTAATTTTATTTTAATACTTGTTAACAATTTTATTAGGTCACATTAGTAGGTTGGATAAAATTCATCCAATCCGAGTTGCACCAATGTATTATCCCATATATATATATATAGACTGAGGGAGTGAGAGACTCATTTATACAAAGACACACATATATAGACTGAGGGAGTGAGAGAGCAGAATGGCCAAGGAGAAGACCACCATGTTCATAGAACAACCCGGGATGCTAGAAAATGGTCATGTTGGCAAGAACTTCGACGACGACGGCCGTGACAAACGAACTGGTACTCATATACATACGTACATACATACATATATATATATATATGCATTGTTTTGTGTATGTATGGTGATGAATCTAAATTATCTAAATGGTGTGAATTATACAGGAACTGTGTTGACAGCGAGTGCACATATCATAACAGCTGTGATCGGGTCCGGGGTTCTGTCTCTGGCGTGGGCCATCGCCCAGTTGGGTTGGGTCGCCGGACCTGCAGTTCTCATGGCCTTCTCCTTCATCACATACTTCACCTCCACACTCCTCGCCGACTGTTACCGGTCGCCTGATCCGGTCACCGGCAAGAGAAACTACACTTACATGGAAGTTGTTAGAGCCCACTTAGGTACGCAATTAATGACCAATTCATTTATGTCAGTCAGTTCAAGCCGTATGATAAAGTCGAATTTATTCGATTACATTTAGGAGAGTGGGAAATGATGCTTAAATGCATTGAATATTAATATTAGTAGTCATTTTTCCATTTAAGGCTGTTCCATATTAATTGTCTTATTTAAAAAGTTAAAACAAAACAAGACTACAACTAGAACTAGGTGAATATTATTTTTGAAAAACAAAAAGAGTAATTTTATACATACATTAATATATTATGAAAAACAATAAATGAGGTTGTTTGATCTACCTAGATAGCTATTATTATTGAAAGCATCAAATATATATTAATGGTTTTTTGTGCTGTTTTTTTGTGCTTAGGAGGTGTGAAGGTCCAGCTATGTGGAATAGCTCAATATGGTAATCTCGTAGGGGTGACAATTGGATACACAATAACTGCATCTATCAGTATGGTGTAAGCAATCAATAATGGACCTATATATATATATATATATATATATATATATATATATTATAATTTTGAAATATCTGGACTACTAATTAATGTAATATATATAATACTGTTGAACTAATAAATTTTGTTTTTTTCTTTGATGAATCAGGGCCGTTAAAAGGTCAAACTGTTTTCACAAGAACGGGCATGATGTGAAGTGTTCAATATCAAATTATCCATTTATGAGCATCTTCGCGGTGATTCAGATCGTCCTGAGTCAAATACCAAACTTTCACAAGCTCTCATGGCTCTCTATTGTAGCAGCTATCATGTCTTTTGCTTACTCTTCTATTGGTCTTGGACTCTCCATAGCCAAAGTTGTAGGTACGTAATGTAATAAATATCATAAAACACACACTGACACACACACACACACATATGTATGTATATTTAATTGATGGTGTAGTTAGTGGTTTAGCATTAATATTGTAATTAATGTAGTTCGATGTGGTCCATGCATGTGGATTAGGAGGTGAGCCTGTAAGAACAAGCCTGACAGGCGTGGCAGTGGGCGTGGACGTGTCAGGCTCTGAAAAGGTTTGGAGAACATTCCAAGCCATTGGAGACATCGCATTTGCTTATGCTTACTCCACAGTCCTCATCGAGATACAGGCAAGCCAATATATATATATATAAATATATATGTACACACATACATACATATGCTAGCTCCACTTCATACGTGCATACATAGATATATTATTATTTTTGTATATATGTGTGTAGAATTGTATGAGCATATATATATATATATATATATATATATATATATATATATATATTTCAAAAATTAAGTGGTGAAAATAACTACTAATTGTTTTAGAGTAATGTTTTTTTTATCAAGATCATCAACCCTCCAAGAAATATGAATGCAAAACATCTATATATATAGATATATATATATATATATAATATTTATGTGTATACGTTAATAACATGCACTATGGATGGTGTATGTATGTCGGTGTATGTATGTCGGTCCCTAGTATGAGCAATATATATATATATATTTGATGGTATGATACATGATTGAAATGTGTGCCTCATTTCATTAATGTCGGCTTGGCATACTGTAACTTCCAATGCATCTAGTCCATATAATTAAATTGATTTTATCAACGTAACTTAGTTTAAGTCACATAAAGTGGGAACGAAAACGAAAGCTAAGAGCGTGAAAATAATAAAATTAAGTAATAAGTAGAGAGAATTTGAACGAAAACATGCTCGGAGTATGAGAACTCACTCAAAACGTGAGAACGACACTTATTAAAAAAGATTATATAACTTAGGTCTTATTATGTACTTTATATATATATATTGTAAGTAGCAGTAGTAGTATTGTACTAATATTTTGTAATTAATCCGATAAATATTAGTTTAGGTTAAGCTTTAAAAAAGTGTGTGGACTGATTTAACACCCTCAAATCAAATCAAGTTGCAATCAAACTATAAATAAATATATAAATAAAAGTTGCAATCAATTTGTCCTTTCAACCCATTTAATTTGTCTCATGAACTTGTTCCAAAGCAAAATAGACCATTTAATTGAATTCTAACAAAATCATGTATATATATTATGAATTCGATTGGACAATGATTAAGGTTTCATTATCATATTAAAATTGAACCCCCAATATATTCCCAAAAGAATAAATATGTTTAATCTCGATTAACGCACTACCACGTGCAGAAGAATAAATTCATCCTCATTCTATAGATTGAATACATGATACTGTCACACAATTAATCTAACAAATGAAAATTGGAGTTTATTATGTCTCGGTATTATTATTATTACTTTTTATAAATTTTATTATTATTATTTTTTTTCCATATTGTAAAGCATTGTGTTTCAAATGATTCCTTGTGGACCACTGAATTGATGGACCACAAAAGTTTAGAATTTGGGCCATTGAATGTGTTGGCAATTTCACAAAGAATTGAAAGCACATCGTTTAGTACCATACTTCTATCTTTTGTTGTCTACCATCCTTTTTCATCTTTTGTTCCATGCTGTCCAAATTACAAGATTGTCATGTCGGTCCCACCCAAAAGATATCATGATAAAAAGAAACTACCAACAGCCTAACACCATTCTTGGGGTCAATACTAACAACCCACCAAGGAAAGTTATTTTTTAATATAAAAGTATGACATCACTTCTTTTTTTTAAGAATATATATATATATATATATATATATATATATATATATATATATATATCATGACAAATTAGGGCACTCTAATATTGTAATATTTATTAATTTAATTCTCGAACATTACATTTAGACGACTTCAAATGTTATATGTTTAATTTAGTACGTGAATCTGTAATTACAAATGAACTTATTATCTGAATGGTATAACTTCTCATAAGAAAAATGAAGGTGCATTATGTTAGTAGGTTCAAATGAATCAGTAGTCGCGATGGATTTATAGTCTGAATGATATAACCTCTTATAAGAAAAACGAGGATTCTAGTCCCGATCTTAATATTCATTTATTCAAATATAATTATACCCATTTGCCCTTGTAAAGAGTTGAAACTCTACTAACGTTATCGTGGCCTAGTGATTGGGTTGCTTCCCATTATCCTAAGTAACCCGACTTAGAGCCTTACCACCCACTAATTTCTAATTTAACATTTCCTAAATTATATGTAATTAACATGTTTGAAAGTTATTTTTATTGCATCTACGTGCATGACTTGAATTGGAGTTCTAAATGGATTTGCATTGGGGTTCTAAATGGATTTACAGGACACACTGAAATCACATCCGGCTGAGAACAAAGTGATGAAAAGGGCCTCTCTCGCTGGAGTTACAACCACCACCTTCTTCTACATGCTATGCGGTTGCGTTGGCTATGGAGCATTCGGGAATAAAGCACCGGGAAATTTTCTCACCGGATTCGGTTTCTACGAACCCTTCTGGCTAATCGACTTTGCTAATGTCTGCATCGCGATCCACCTTATTGGCGCTTACCAGGTAAATCACCTGTCTTTTGTATGTTGTAAATCGATAATGCAACACATTATATCGAGGACTAAATACTTACGTAATATCAATCCAAACACTCATGCAACACATTTAATTTAAGTTATGTTTAAGAGTATCGAATTGATGTCTTAAATTTATTATAATTCATTTGTATTGTGTTCGATGATATGATATTAGTGTCATGAAATTTGTTATTAACAGGCACGGTACTATATGGTGCTGCCCCCACTAATTTTTTTTTTATTTACATTATGTACCTATAAATTTTATAAAATTTTGAAAATGCCTCCATCAAAACTATAAAAAATTTTCGATGGTGCCCCTCTCAACAAAAATTTGACGTCTAGAATCAAAGAAAATTTAATTCAAACTAACATCGTTATTGACAGGCACGGACCTATGTGGTGCTGCCCCCACTAATTTTTTTTTTTTATTTGCATTATGTACCTATAAATTTTGTAAAATTTTGAAAATGTCCCCCACTAAAATTATGAAAAAACTTCGATGGCGCCCCCTCTTAACAAAATTTATGGGTACTAATAATGGACTACCATGCACAGGTTTTCTGCCAGCCTATATTCGCATTCGTGGAGGGTCGCTGCCACAAGCGGTGGCCGGAGAGCAAATTGGTAACCTCAGAGTACGGCGTTGACATTCCGTTTTTGGGAGTTTTCCGCGTGAACTTCTTGAGGTTGGTGTGGAGAACGTCGTACGTGATAGTGACAGCGGTGGTGGCCATGATTTTTCCCTTCTTCAACGACTTCGTGGGACTGATCGGAGCAGCCTCATTCTATCCGTTGACGGTGTACTTCCCGATAGAGATGCACATTGCGCAGACGAAAATACCAAAGTACTCATTCACATGGATATGGCTGAAAATACTGAGCTGGACTTGCTTGGTGGTGTCGCTTGTTGCTGCTGCAGGCTCCATACAGGGACTCTCTCAGGATCTCAAGACATACAAGCCCTTCAATACTCAATGAGTTGTTTAAACCCTATTTTGTTGAAAAACAATGCAAAATGTAATATTTTTAATAAAAATGAATTTGTGTGTGGATGTATTTTATATCACCGAATGTGTGTGTGTGTGTTCTTGCAATATGTTTCTCCGGTCAGAGAATTGCAGTTTGCATGGAAACTCGGAATTATAGGAAATAAAATAGGGATTAGCACGTAAACATGGAGTTTATTTACCATTTTATGAATTCAAAGTCCTAATCTTTTGAAAAAATAGGATTTACCGAAATATACATATGTGGACATGAGAAAACATTGTTCACTTGCCCAAACTATCCTTACTATTTTCATATACCACTTTTGCAACAAGTAAATACAACTCTTGTTCACAAAAGTACCACATCTTGTGAACAATTTTTTTTTCATGTGCACTTCAGGTTTTTTGGTTAACTTCACTTTGTTTTTAAATATTACAACTTTGACTTCATGAAATAGTAAATAAAGATCCAAAGCTCTATGTATACCAAATAATCCCAATATATATATATATATATATATATATATATTGATGCCATGTTTGGCTATACCGAATTGACGCCTTGAATTTAGGATTAGAAAAACCATCAATTCAATACTTTGAAACATAAGATAAGGAGATTTTGGTCTATCTCCTCCCGACCATTGCTTCTGAAATTTCCCCGATTTTCTGGCATAAATTTTGGGAGAGTCTAACATAGCACAGTCCGATTCATTGAATTATATTTGTATGTACCCTTCCCGGGAATTGAGAATCGAATACAGCTCTGGTGTTTGTATTTCGATTGATTCATGCAACTCTCTGAAATATATTTTAGGGAAGTGTGACATAGCACAATCTCATTCATTCAACCACACTTGTATGTACCCTTAAACTAAAAACACAATACAAGTCTGTTGTTTGTATGCATTCTTTAATATCAACTAAAAATTGCAATCTAGATGACTGTGGATGAGTCACCGTGAATGAGATCTTCGTGTAAGTGGTGGGTCTGTCACTGTAAATTTGCAGCAGTGGTAAAGTAAGGATGTCTGGACGCAATTCCTCATTTGAATCTGAAATATGTAGGGCTTCCCACCATAACTTTCTAACGAGAAATTTTACAATGCATCGGGATTTCCCAGCCGTTGAATCATCCATCAAGTGAGAGAGAGTCCGGATATCGTAGAATTTTCCCAGTTATGGATTGCAGGCAGTTGTCATATCAATGCATTGACTTCAATCCATGCCACAAATTTCCTCCAGGACTGCATAGAAAAACAAATTCCAAATGCCCAAAAAGATTTTTTATTTATTTATTATTATTATTATTTTTTTTTAATTCTTTGCTCGACTAGAAAACACTTTGTCGAAGAAGTTGCAACATATTTTGGGTGGACATCAAAAGTAGTCATAGGACAGAAATTGAGAATAAGAAAATAAGCTCCCATTTATGGATGAAAACTCATTATGGAAGCACATAAACATTTATTTTATGTGCAACTGTGGACAATTCTTTTTCTTTGACCTGAGAGATTGCAGAGAGTTTATTCTAGGTAGAGTGTTTCAGACACTCTTCTGGGAGTCACGTTGTCCATAGAGAGGAAACTAGTTACTCCGTGAGGAAAAGAAAAAATTAATTATTCCACGAGATAGCTGCATTGACACAAGACCTATCGACATGATGCTGAAGTCTAGTATTCAACTTCGGAAAAGATCCGGCGGAGTTGAACTTACCCGGTTACTCTGTATTTTGGTGGTGTGAGAGCATCCGGAAGGAAATGATGATCTGAGAGAACATAAACAAACACCCTCCGCTACAACAACAAAAGAGCAGGCTTTAAACATGGTTACACACGCTTCAAAAATGACTCGTGATCTGGAGATTAGTTTACAAGTTTTTGAAACGGAGGATAATAAATGCAGAGTCCCAATGTTCAACCTGATATAGGACCATCCTTCATATACTGAAAGGCGGTGCAGAAACAAAACCAATCCAGAAGGGCCACCCATCAAGAAGGAAAAAAAAAACCTTCTAGTTTTGCCCCTATTTTGCTAGCCCAGAGAAGCTTCGTTTATATTTCAGCGGGAAGTCTTTCACAGAACATAAACGGAGAAGAAAATCAGAATCTCTATGCACGTTCTGGATCTTACTCGGTAAAAGATTTGTAAATAAAAAGAGAATTGAATAAGCTACAAACCGGAGTCCAGGGAATAAGTTAACAGGAAACCTAACACTCATAACACCATGAAGCCCCATCTTATGCTGTGCGCGAAAGTTTTCACATAGATGTATGGGCATGAACACAAATGACTTTAACAGGTGAGCATGTGAAAATGCAATTTCCCTTCCCATTGAATGCAATTTCCCTTCCCACTCAATAAGAATTCTTCACCCAGTCAAAATATACAAGTCAAAAGCATTCGTTTTTTAGAATTTCATGACCACCAAAGGTACAATTTGATTGCTCAGATAACTCATCAAATACAACAGATAACAATGCTTCCCATGAATGCTCAGATTACTCTGCAACTTGAGCCTGTCCCTACTAAATATCAATTACCTGGTACTCATTTAAACTGCAAAACAACAAGTACGGGTTTCTGGACACCACGATCTTCAGCTGAAGTCCTTCATTTCTCCATCATCGCAATCTTCAGCTGATGTAGCAAGTTTCAAACAAAAAATAAGTGGCACACTAAATTAAATTTTCTTGATAACTGTGTGATAATAGAAGTATTAGTTGCCCCTTCTAATTATAAAAGTGCCTTTAATATAGTGCAAAATAAAAAAGTACACTGAGCATTACCTCACAAAAATTTATCAAGCGCCCTCTCTCTCACTAATTACGAACGCTTGAATAAGAGACTGTGCAGCATGAGTTTGCTCGGGTGTCCCGGATATTATAATTGCAGTTTCTGTTGCTCCAGGGTTGGGATCAGTAATGGTAATTTTTGCATCGGAAATCTGAATAAATAAATAAAGAACCATATTAGTAGTGCTCACATTATTGGATAAGGATAAGGAGTATTCACAATAAAACATATGTGATACTCGTTCATCAGGTACATCAAACCTTTAAGTATATCTGTAATATTGTCTTCAAAATCAAAGCAACGTCTAGCTAGAAATGCAATGTGCCAGTGCACAACTGGGACCGATCCCCATAAGCCTATAAAGAATTGGAACTTTTGAAGAACTAAACAGATTAATGACTTATTGTGGTGGAAAGAAAGGACAAAAGAAATGCGTCAGTATAAGGTTACAATATTGTCCGTGAAAATCAGAAGTGCAAGGAGGAGGAGCGGGAGGGGGGGATGGAACCTGAAGACAAAAGTATTGCATTGATCGAAAAGATTGGGACTCCCAATCCTGGAAGAACTAAAAAGTTGGGAGAAGTCATTAACTTGTGTAGAAGTCATTAATGGTACAGGTTACGACTGCTTAAAAAGCTCTTCAAAACAAACTGTTTTTACAGTAGGGCTGTTCAAAATTCACTTTCTAGGATATCAACCGAATGAAAGATAAACCTTCGGTTTGGATGATATATATAAATAAATAAATAAAGATTGTAGGAATGAACATGCTAGACTTTAACATGGTCTAGATCGAGAGAGAGGAAAGGAGAGAAACGAGGAGGGAGAGCTTATCTCATGACTGTTCTAAACGAGGAATAAAATGAAAAGAATGGGATGGAATACGGAGAGCCTCATCCCTTGAATAGTGTTTTGGCTATCCTTTTAAAGTTGGAAAGACGTGGAAGCAGGAGATAAGAGAGTTACATTTACAAGTGAATTGATGTCCTACCCTTGCCACTTACAAATTAAAAACAACCATTTCCTTCTTTTGCCTACACTCTTTTTTACCAAGCACATTGAAGCCTTGTCACTATTTTTCCTTTTCTTTTCACTCCTTAATTAATAAAACATAAAAAGGAAGGTTAAAACTATTATTCACATATCAAAATAATAATAATAATAATAATAATAATAAACAAAAAGAAAACTATGAATTCGTTTTCTTCTTTACTTCATTACTAATGTTATCCTCTCATTTCCTTTCCCTTCTATCTGAACGCAGCATTGTAACTGTAGCTTAAAATTAAAATTCTTATAAAACTTTGAACAAAATTTAGATGAATTTTTAAATCTAAATATTGGAAAAAATCAAATACGTATTCCTAAACATGACATTGGTGCTGGGAGACTCCAAGTAGAGGCCAGGCGTAACGGGTGGGCGCTTGCCCGCTGATCCAAAAGCTTAAGGTATTGGGTAGTGTTGCTTACCCACCCATTATACCCATTATACCCATTTCAATTCTCATTCGGTCCAGATGTGGAACACCTCTAACATTCTCCCCCACCCAAACTCGCAACACCCTCGTTGCAATCGGGCCACCCTGCTACTACCGGGGTGGCAATCCAAACCCCTCTGTATGGATAAGGAAACTACAATTTTAATCCCAGTATGAGAACTACATTTGAATTGGGATTATATATATATATATATAGAGAGAGAGAGAGAGAGAGAGATAGAGTTTTCCACAAAGCCCTAAAGTTATACTACTAATCATCTTGCAATCTTAAGAGGGAGAATTAGAGGAGATGGAGAGAATTTGTAATGTTACCAGGTAAGTGATTTTACTAATTTACCAAGATTTTCATGTCTTAGTAATATGTAGAATTTAAATCTAAATAGTTTAATAAAGAGAAAAGCACTTTAAATTTGTATACGTGCAAAAAAATAATATGCATATATGGTTTTGTATAATATGATGAATATGAGATCTTTTTTTTTTTTTTCTTGGGCAACATGAGATCTGTATTAGAAATATATTTAAATAATTCATCGGTACATGTTAAAGTCAATTTCAGAATGTGAATATAATGATTTTCATGTATAACAGTGTATATATATGTATATGTATACAAGTGTAAATACATGTATAGCATATGAATTACATAAACCCTAGTGTGAAATCTTTATACATGGGATGAGTTTGGGGTAAATCGATGGTTGGGTTAGATGATTATAATGTCTAATAGTATGTACATGTGGATTAAATGCTTCTGATTGGTGTAATTTGTCGCGGATATTGTTGTGAGAAGGAAAACCCTAGAAAGCTTACATGAGTTGTGTGACTAAACTAGAGTATTGTTTTTTGAGGTTTTTACCCCTATAGATAGTTTGAGGCATGGGCAATTGAATAGAAAAAAGAAAGAAAGAGAAAAAAAAAATGGGGGTGGATTTGATGGACGAAAACTGGCGGAATCGCAAAAACCGGGTTGCTGGGTATGAAACTGAGGAAGATGATCTTCCCAGCTCATGTGCAAACCCGTGCCCGCTTGTGGCGCGTGAGACGGTTCTGGCGGGTGAGTCCACTCACCGAGCCCAACCGGTTGGTCCCACTTTTGGGCCCACCCGAAATAATTAAATAATTATTGTATGCATTTAATGGATAAAAATTAAGGAAATTAAGAATAAATATTTAAAAATTTCAGAAATTTCTAATTACGCTTCTTGTTTTAGATTTATGTATAAAAGGACAACCTAAAAGGAGAAAGAGAACCATAAACCCAAGGACTAGGTGGTGGAATTTAAGAAGGGAGAATGTAGAATTATTTACAAAATAGGATGTTAAAAGAAGCAACATGGGATGTAGAAAATGAAACAAACTTCATGTGGAATATATTAAAAGAGTAGCAAAAGAAGTCCGACGAGAATCAAAAGGAACGGGACCATTAATTAAAGACACTTGGTGGTGGAATGAACAAGAAACGGGAATGCAACCATATGGGAAGTCTAATCTTTTGGCAAAAAAAAATAAAAATAGTGAAACTTTTGGCAAATATAAAAAAGCAAATAAAGAAGTTAAGAAAGTAGTGAGGCAAAGCATAGAGCATATGACGATTTCGATTCTAAACTGGTCACAAAAGATGGGGAGAAGAAAATATATAAACTTGCTAATCTAAGGGAAAGGAAAACTATAGATTTTAGCCATATTAAATATATTAAGGGTGAAGTTTCACAGGTTTTAGTATAAGACAATGAAATTATAGAAAGATGGAAAAGTTATTTTGAGAAATTGCTAAATGACAACCATATGGGAAGTCTAATCTTAGAAGAATATGTTAGAGATAAAATATTTTCCCGTAGAGTGAAGGAGTGGGAGGTTAGGAATGCCATAAGGAAGATGAAATCGAGGAGGGCTTTAGGACCCGATGGTACTCCTATTGAGGTGTGGAAGTATTTTGGAGAAGTTGGCATGTCTTGGTTAACAAAACTGTTTAATAAGATAACAACTAAGAGGATGCCTGATGAGTGGCGCCAAAGTATTCCGGTACCTATATCTAAAAACAAAGGGGACATACAAAGTCATAATAATTACTGGGGTATTAAATTAATGAGTCACACCATGAAACTTTGGGAGAGAGTGAATGGCGACTAAGAAGAGAGATGGGAGTGTAGGAGAATAAATTTGGATTCATGCTGGCTAGGTCAATGATGGAGGCTGTCTACTTATTAAGGATACTAGTGGTTTTTATTGATTTGGATAAATCTATGATAGGGTAACTAGAAACCTAATATGGAGGGCTTTAGAAAAGAAAGGAGTCACCAAGGCACACATTTGCACAATAAAGGACATGTATGATGGTTGTGTGACTATATTTAGAACGCTTGTAAGAGAAACAAGTGAATTCCCAATTACTGTAGGCTTACAACAAGGGTCCGCGTTAAGTACATACCTTTTTGCCTTGGTTACGGATGAACTAACAAGGCATGTCCAAGATGAGATTCTGTGATGTATGTTATTTGCCAATGATATTGGGCTATTTGATGAGACTGGAGGAGGAGTTAATGCCAAATTGGAGATTTAGATAGAAGCTTTAGAACCAAAAGGGTTTAAGGTAAGTCGAAATAAAACTGCATATATGGAGTATAACTTTAATAAATCTATAAAGACAAATGAGGTTGTAGTGAGGATTAAGAATCAAGAGGTATTAATTAAGAAAGTGAATGTTTTCATTATTTAGGTTCAATTATTAATAATGAGGGAGAAATTGGAGATGACGTTAACCATAGAATCAAGGCAAGATGGGTTAAATGAAGTGCATCTAATATATTGTGTAATAGGTGTATTCCCTTACAATTGAAAGGGGAGTTCTATCGTACAGCCATTAAACAAGCCATACTTTATGGTATCAAATGTTCGGCAGGTACGAAACAACATTTTCATAAAGTGTGTGTGGCAGAAATGCAAATGTTGAGATGGATGTGCAGTAAGAGTAGAAAGCATAGAATTAGAAATGATCACATTCGAGAGATGATTGGAGTAGCAGCAAATGGAGAAAAAATGAGAGAAAATCGGGCAAGATGTTTGGACATGTGCAAAGAAAACCTTTAAGTGCATCCATTTTAGGAAAAGTGACATAGTCCACATTGATGGAAATACTAGGGGAAGAGGAAAGATCAAAGTTAATGTGGGTAGAGTTAGTAAAGAAAGATATGATGGCATGTGAATTGACTGAGGCTATGACCTCAAATAGAGATAAATGGAAACATGTAACCGACCCCAAGTATTGGGAATAGGCTTGGTTGTTATTGTATGAAAAATTGTAATTAAATAATATTAACTTATTTAAGTCAGAATACACATGAAAACCTAGGTTCCGATGACGTTTAGACTAGTTATCTATTTATTTAGTTTGAAAAGTAGCACTTTTAGGCACTAAACCCAAGAGTATGAATTATTCTTAAATAGCTCGGTCATGAAACCTATACCTAGCTAGATTAGATAGTTTACATCATCTAGGTACGATACTATCCTTAAATTAGGTTTATTGGTTAGAAATAGTATTTAGAATAGTTCTAGACTTATAGGGCACGCGCGCATGGGGGTGTGCATGTTGGGGTATGTGGGGTGGGGGTGTTTGTGGTCAATGGTTGAGATTTGTGGAATTAGACGG